TCATTTATATTTTAACCCATAAAAACTAAACCACAGCTGGAAGGTTCAAGTTCARTCTTCTGAGTCTTTTATGTAATGAAATTATTGTTTAAATTAAAGTTAAAACAATCTTGTTTTGCTGCAGTACGTTCATAAAAAGCTGTATGTTAGGGCTTCATTCATAAACTTTAAAAAAGATAAACACTGACTGAAAACAATCTAATTTAGTGTAACTCTTAAATTTACATAACGAATCCAGGCAAAAAATAAAACATTAAAAACATGTTTTTATTTTTGTATCAACTTTGTTCCAGCACAGCTATAAAACCCAAACAGAACATTCTGCTAAAGGAAATGTTTTATTTCACCCTGGTAATCTCTTTAGCTTCTATTAATATAGAAGCACTTAAATCTGTATTTGTTTGTTCTCAGCGCACAACAGACCATGACAAACAAGCACATATGTAGCAGGATTAACTGTGCACACGCGCTCCGTTATTTACCGTATGATAACAGGAGCAGGAAGCAGAAATAGATGCAGAACGACAAGAGCTAAAAGCTAAAAGAGTGCAGGACTCCATTAAAGTGCTGAACTGCTGTCATGTTTCATGAGTTCCCTGAAAAACTATTACATCATTCAGAGAATAATGATGATAAAAAGGAGCAGAAGCTGTTTTTAAAGGTCGTGAAGCTTCTGCCGATGAAACGATGGCTCTAAAACAGCTTGGAYGATGAGAGATCACAGCTCAGTTAGGCAACAAGACGCCTCAAATTTTGATTTTACTGCAAAAAAAAGTGAAATAAAAAAGAAAGAAGTGAAAAAATGTTTTGCATCATGACGGAGCAACAGTGAARCTTTCAGCTCAGTCAGAGGCTTTGTGTGAGACAACGTGGCCTGAGGTCTAACCTTTCACACACACTTTTCCTGTGGTTCACTTTCTCTCTAAAACACACACAGGAAATAAGAAAGTGTGTGTGTAATACACAACTCGACGCTGTCCTCGTATTAAACACAAACATCATTACTGATCGATCGTCTTCTGTTCTCAAACCGTTAAAACATTCCTCTCATTTTTATTAAATCTCACGACTTTTAAAGAAGCCTCACCCAACCCTGCAGCTACACTCAGTGTTTAAAGAATGACTCCATTATTCTACTGAGTCACTATTTGTGAGTCAGCGTCTCCTTGATGATGTGAAAGATTGAAAGGAAAAAAAACTCTTAATTCACAATTTATATACATGTTGTCAGGTTTTCCTGTTTTACGGCCTGTACAAATGCAGCTCAGGTCCTGCATGCAAATGTTACAATGCAGAAAGTGAAACTAAAAATAGGCCAGCAGCAACAACAGGGACGTTATGCAAAAGCTAACCTCACGCCGGCCTTTCCCCAGAGGCCTCGGYTGCTTGGAACATCCATTCTGACAAATAAAATGTGTCCCCACTTATCAGGAGCGTTGTGGTTTCAGAGTCAACATCTCTGATCTCTGGTGCATTCTTACAATCTGATTATTAATCTGATTACTCCAGGATGCTTCCTGGCTAATTTCAAGGTTGCTAACACACAGGAACCAGAACAGGAACTCGTGGATCTAAACATTAGATTACACAGTCATACAAGTTCATGTATCATCTTTTATTTGTTTGTTAGTTTGGGGAGTAAAACAGGTCCTGCTTGAGGTGAGCAACAACTGAAATAAAACCACGGAGCTCAACGATGCTGACCAACAATAAAAACCAACATCATGCTGTGTCCATCTGAGGGATGCTCACAAACACTTTGCAGTAACTGCATCTCCTTCAGGAAACAGTGAAAACACAGGGATGTATTCACTGTAAGCAAACAGCACGGCTTTGTTTCTGGAGAAATGAGACTTATCAAAACAAGCCAGCAGCACCTGTTGAGCTGGGATTTGATTCCAAACAGAGCTGGCTTCCTGCTGCAGTTTCAGCAAATCACCTGTGATTAAACTGTTTTATCATCAGAAAGGGTAAAAACTCTGAGCTGAACAGAACATGTTCATTTCAGCTGTAGCTCCCACTCAAAATTCAAATAATGAAGTTTAGATCTTAAGTGGGATTTTGTGGAGAAGTTATGAATAATAATCATCTTACCTGTTGTAGCTGTTGTAGGTAACTCTGTAAACAACCTCAGTTTGGAAAAATAGTTTAATTCTGACTGGACTGAGCCAGTTGTGAGCCTTTACGCTGTTTAACTTTGTTATTTCAGCAGATGTTTTAGGATTTTTTTTTACAAGAAACGCTCTAAACTGGAAGTGCTACAGCTAGCTTAGCTGTTGCTACTGCTAACTTAGCGTATATAACCATGTTAGGAAAAACTTACAGGGAGGTAAAAGTTTATAAAAGGGCATTTGTATGAAACACTAGGAAATGTAGGAGCGGAGATGATTTAAGACAATCCACAGTATTCCTGAGAAACTTATGTAGGCTGCCATGACAGTCACTAGCCCCGCCCATAGCCCTCCCCCACTGTTCGCTTTTTCCGGTGCGCAAGAAATTCATTCATTCATTCAGATAGTTATGATAACAACAAATTTAGTTTGTTTTTGCTTTAACTGCCAGCTTGAGCAGTTCAGTCATGAGTTTGTGTTCATCTTGTATATTTGTCGGCTGCAACAACAACTGAAGAAAACTGAGAAATGTTTATAAACATTTTGCTTGGAACAAGACGTAGTAAGGCATAGCGTCCTACAAACTGCACTTTGGCTGTGTCCAAAATAGCAGGCTGGGTCCTCCGAAGGTCGAATTTTGTCGGCCGCATATGTCACAGCGCCGCGA